CCCCTATATTATTATTCCTCTTGGAAACAATTATTAACTCGATTGAGTTAGCCCCAAGATTCCTTGGTAAATTAATCGATCGTAGAAATTGTATTTTAAGGAATATTATTTCTATTATTATCCGTTTCCACAGGTTTATACCCAGCTGCAGGATTCTCCTACTCGGAGATGGCCCTCTCGGATCCCGGTTATTCGGCTACGTCTCTCGCTTCTGCGTCCATTTTGTACAACAGTTGGTTCGCCCAGTCGAAACCCGGTCAACTTTTCGGCCTGCAAGGTGAGATCTGCTCGATATTTGATAGAGCAGGTAAATTATTGCTTTTCTCCCCCTCCTTCTCGATCGATATCCCTCTCGATTCCCGATCAGGGAAAGGATGTTCGAAAAGAGGAAAGGAAAGAAAGAAACTGTCTAATTACCCGCTCGTAATAACTTATCGGCGCGATTCCATTTTCGCGTACAATGGGTAGGAGAAAAGCGAAGTCGGGGTGCGTTCTTTCGGATCTTGGAGAGGGGGAAGGGGAAGAATAATCGGGGAGATTACTCGAGGCGTCTATCGTAACAGCTATTCGACACGCGACCGTCGCATTAACAGCTACAGCAGGGGGGTGTTGTATCTCTCCTTAATTCCATATCTGTTGCCGCGTCACGGGCGTGAGATATTTTTCGCGCCCGGCGTTAATCAAACTTTTCCTCTCGGCTTTAACCCCTGTCTCTTTACTGTCGCGTTTACTATCTCTAGCGAACTGGAATCGTCGAAGATGCATCTTTTCTTCTATTCCTCGGTCGTGGAATATATTATTTTTATGTCGCGGAAATTTTTTAGAAATTGTTGTGATGTTTTTCTGTCGAATGAAGAATAAATCATCAAATCATCTCTCTCTTCTTTGCTTCTATTTCTCGATCGTGAAATATATTATTTTTGTCGCGGAAATTTTTTAGAAATTGTTGTGACGTCTTTGTGTCGAATAAATCATCAAAGATGCCTCTTTTCATTGCTTTTTCGAAATATATTATTTTTGTTACAGAAATTAATTTTTTAGAAATTGTTGTGATGTTTTTGTATCGAGTGAAGAATAAATCACCAAAGATGCCTCTTTTCATTGCTTTCTCGATTATGAAATATATTATTTTTGTCGCGGAAATTTTTTAGAAATCGTGTCGCCTTTCTATCGAATGAAGAATAAATCATCAAAGATGTCTCACTTCTTTGCTTTTATTTCTTGAAAATATATTATTTTTATTATTTACATTTTAAAGAAAATTAACATTTTTTAAAAATTGTTAAGCCTCTCTTCTTTGCTTTTATTTCTCGATCGTGAAATATATTATTTTTATTACGGAAATTAACTTTTAAAAATTGCTATGCCTCTCTTCTTTGCTATACTTTTCTTCTTTTTCTTTTATTTCTCGTGAAATATATTATTTTTGTTACAGAAATTAACATTTTCTAGAAATTGTTATGCCTCTCTTCTTTACTTTTATTTCTCTTTTAAAAATTGCTATGCCTCTCTTCTTTGTTATGCTTTTCTTCTTTTTCTTTTATTTCTCCTGAAATATATTATTTTTATTACGGAAATTAACATTTTCTAGAAATTGTTATGTCTCTCTTCTTTACTTTTATTTCTCTTTTAAAAATTGCTATGCCTCTCTTCTTTGTTATGTTTTTCTTCTTTTTCTTTTATTTCTCCTGAAATATATTATTTTTGTTACGGAAATTAACATTTTCTAGAAATTGTTAAGCTTCTTTTTCTTATTTCTATTTCTCGATCTATATTCTCGATGAAATATATTATTTTTGTTACGGAAATTAACATTTTTTCAGAAACGTGCGTACAAAATTCTATCGTGCATGAGATCATTAGAGACAATACTTTTCCAATTGAAATACATTTTACGAGTAATAAAAAGTGTTTCTCATACTTTTGTCTTCCCTCTTTTCACAATCTCTCTGTCACGATATTTTCTACGATGCATAATCGCGAACGAAGAATAAACCATCAAAGATTCCTTGCTTTTATTTCTCGATCGTAAGATATATTATTTTTGTTACACAAAAATTAACATTCTTTTAGAAATTGACGTAATCATTAGAGACAATTCTTTTCCAATTGAAATATATTTTACGAAAACTGTAAAGAATATTTTTGGCAACAAACTTTTTTAAACGATCTTCTTTTTCTTTTTCTCTACGATTCTTTCATTTCAATGAACAACAAATCTCTTTTTTTTTCTATTTCTCGTCAGATATATTCTTGTTACGAAAATTATTTTTTTAAAAATCGACATGTCACATACGTAATCATTAGAGACAATCCAATTGAAATATATTTTACGAAAACTGTAAATCGAAGAATATTTTTGGCAACAAACTTTTTTAAACGATCTTCTTTTTCTTTTTCTCTACGATTCTTTCATTTCAATGAACAACAAATCTCTTTTTTTTTTCTATTTCTCGTCAGATATATTCTTGTTACGAAAATTATTTTTTTAGAAATTGATGATCACCATTCCATACAAAATTCCATAATGAACAACGAATCGTTAGAGAGACGTGTCTTTTCCAACTCAGATATATTTTTACGGAGTAAATAAAAAGTCGTCGCATAGTTTTCGAAGAATTCACTTATTTCTCTCACGTATTTTTTTTATATCTTCGATGTCGGATGTCGACTCGCAGCGCGAATAATACTCGCCCGCTTGACTTGAATCCGCCATCGTTGTTCCTCTCGTTTCGCTACTATCCGCCATGCTGTTAGAAGCCCATTTATCAGCGACGTTACTCTAACCACCTTCCGGAGAGGTGCTAAACGTCTCTGTACACTCGTAAATCTTTATTCCGTCAGTTTTCTTTCCTCCGCGTTTCCTTTTTTTCTTTTTTTCTTCTTTTTTCTTTTTTTTTTGTTATCATCAATAATCATCGCTCGCTTCGGAGGAAACGACGATGATCGATCTCGATCTCGTCGACGAGAAATTTTATTCAAGATTTGGAGGAAGAAATCGGCTTCTCGAGATTTAAAAATTTTAATTCGGAGGAGGCAAAAGTTATAAATAGAGATGCGCGTTAAATCGCGTTAATTAAAAGGAGAAACACTTGGATTTTCGTCCTCTTTGTTTTGACATTTAATTTTTTTTTTTTTTTTTCTATCTTCTTCATCGAAATTCGTTAAAATTTCGTTCGATTAATTCGAAGAAGAAGAAAGTCTCTTTTCTTTTCTTTTTTTTTGATAAAAATTTTGAAACGTTATAGAAGAATATATCTAAAGATCGAGAAATAGAAAAAAAAAGAGGCACGATTTATTGTTGATTGAAATGAAAGAATCGTAGAGAAAAAGACGTGAAGTTGAAGTGAGGATATGAATGAGAGTATTAATATAGAGAAAATTGTTGCAAGAGGCATTCTCGTATCTGGAAACGTTTACGAGAAAATAATACAAAATACGGTTTGTGTAAACGCGCGACATCTGTTTGTTGGTTTAGAGTGTAAGGGCCGAGTAGCTAATTGGACGTTAAACAAGGGAAAAAGGACGTTTATTTCGAGTCATCGCGATTTTCCAGAATTCGTGAACAACGTTCACGGTTCGCCAGAAAATCGACCGCCATACCGTAAACATTGTTAACGAAAATTGTTAACAATTTCAAGATTCGTAAATTTTTGTAACCAAAACCGATTTTTATTTTTCAACGTGAAAGTACATCGTGTTATGATTCCTTCGCACGCAATTGATTGAATTTAAAAAAAAAGAAAAAAAATTAAAAATTCCTTTTTTTGATATTCTAATTTTTATAGAATGTAGGAAAATCTTTGAAGCTTAATTAGAATTTTCGTCTGTATTCGGATGTACGAAATAATTAACTTTTATAGAAAGAAATGTAGAAAATGTAGAAAAAGCTTAATTAAAACTTTTGTCTGTATTCAAATTAAGGATAAATGAAATAATTAACTTTTATAGAAAGAAATGTAGAAAAATCTTCGAAGTTTAATTGAAACTTTCGTCTTCGAGTTAGAAAATATATAAAATAATTTTTTTTTGATATCTTAACTTTTCGTCCGTATTCAAATTACGGATATATAAAATAATTCATTTTCGATATCTCAACTTTTACAGAATCGAATGTAAAAAAATCTTGGAAGCTAAATCTCAAAACTTTATTATAAATTAAAAATATATAAATTTTATATAAATTAAAAACTTTCGTCTGGGTTCAAATTATGGATACGTAAAATAATTCCTTTTCTCAACTTATACATATATTTCAACATAAATAATATTTCAACTTTTACAAAATCGAATAAATAGAAAATCTTCAAAGCTTAATCTTAGTTGAAACTTTCGTCTGCATTCGAATTATATACAAAATAATTTCTTTTCGATATCTCAACTTTTGCAGAATCGAATGTAAAAAAATCTTGGAAGCTTAATTAAAACTTTCGTCTATATTCGAATTACAGATATACAAAATATATAAAATAATTCCTTTTTGATATCTTAATTTTTTGTTTATATTATATTATATAAATTATGGATATTTAAAATAATTAATTTTTATAGAATCGAATAAATAAAAAATCTTCAAAACTTAATCTTAGTTAAAACTTTCTGCATTCGAATTACAGATATACAAAATAATTCTTTTTCGATATCTCAACTTTGTTAATACTTTCGTCTGCATTCGAATTATACAAAATATACAGAATAATTCTTTTTCGATATCTCAACTTTTGCAGAATCGAATGTAAAAAAATCTTGGAAGCTTAATCTCAAATAAAAACTTTCGTCTGCACTCGAATTATACGAAAATATACAAAATAATTTCTTTTCTATATCTCAACTTTTGCAGAATCGAATGTAAAAAAATCTTTGAAGCTTAATTAAAACTTTCGTCTATATTCGAATTACAGATATACAAAATATACAAAATAATTCCTTTTTGATATCTTAATTTTTCGTTTATATTATATTATGTAAATTATGGATATATAAAAAATAATTAATTTTTATAGAATCGAATAAATAGAAAATCTTGGAAGCTTAATCTCAAATAAAAACTTTCGTCTGCATTCGAATTATAGATATACAAAATAATTTTTCTTCGCTATCTCAACTTTTACATAATCGAATGTAAAAAAATCTTGGAAGCTTAATCTCAAATAAAAACTTTCGTCTGCACTCGAATTATACGAAAATATACAAAATAATTTCTTTTCGATATCTCAACTTTCGCAGAATCGTAGAAAAAAATCTTGAAAAAGCTTAAAAACTCTCGCCTGCATTCAAATTGTTCGTATTGGATTGGAAGTGGAGCGAATAATTCATCCCCTTTGTCCGTTTCCTTGGGTCGTAGCAGGCAGGCCGCGGGTCATCGTCTAAATGCGACTAACAACGGTATAATGCCTCATATAACCCCTTGAACGGAAATGTGTGCAACTTGTTTGCAACCCGATGATAATCGCGTCCAAACGTTCCTCGGTATAAACTGTTTGCCCACCTCTTTCCCACATTCGTTGCCCCGTGTTTGCAGTAAGATGTCACACGTTCCCCAAACGATCCCGCATGTTTTAGACACGCTTGGCAAATCTAGTCGCGGCCCAATGGCCGTCCCGAGCCGAAGAAAGTGGTAATTGGGTACGAGCCGAGGCAAGTTAGTGCAACGATTAAGAGCCAATCATTGTTATGTTAAATTTTTATTATCACCGCTGTAAATCTTCGGGAAGGTCTGGCCACGTCGATCCGCCTGTCATCGAGTTCTCGTTTTCGAAAAACCCTACACTTTTTTCCTCTCTTTCTTTCTTTTTCTTTTAAGACGTTTTGTAAAATATTTTTATCTAATTTTTTCGATCGTATTTTCGCGATCGGCAGCGCCCAAA